TAGGATTCTTGTTTATGGCATGAGAACTCAAATAAGAAGGTGGAGAACCACCTGTGCAGCCATAACTGGTAGCTGTATGTTGGGCAACTCTCTCTGTCTGCAGGTGATCACGAAAGTTTTAATGATTGGGGGTTTAAAATAAATGAAAAAGTGGACAAATTCACAGGTACAGAATCTACAAATAATGAGGATTGATTATATGTTCTGTTCAACCAAATCTATATAAAAGGTGATGTAAAAATAAATACTCTGCTATGGCAATAAAAGGATTCACAGGATGACTCTGTGATTCTATCATACTGATTCACCACTTTAGCTTTCAACTTTTCAAATAATCAGACATTAGTTTGGGCTAAAAGGGAAGAGATTTTTTTTTTCCTAGAAATGTGTGTGTGCAGTATATTAGCTGAAATCTAGCTAATTGTGAAGAATGAGCTCTGAAGTTCAATTTTGAATATAAAAGTGCTTTAAACTTTCATTTGTTATATTTAAATTTGTTATAGAAGAGTTGACCTCCAAATGAAGTTGAGATTTAATTTAATTTTATACAGCATTTTGAGCTTTATAAAGTAATTAATTTCTGTGGTTTTGTTTTGCTGTATTACAATTATACTTTACCAAAAAAGCAAAACAAAAAACTAGTAATGATACTACAAACTGAAGTGAACATGTAAACCGTTCCTGTAATACTGTGGACGCAAGTCAAGCTAGGTAGGTTTTCTCTATGCCATTACTGAATACAAGGCTCCCACATAAAGTGGGAGCTCCTTGCATAAAATACAAGGCAATTTGTAGTTGGCTCTAACAAACCTTTGCTTTTGACACGTGTTTTCTTGTTATACAGAGTACACAACTATGTGTTGGTGAGCCAAGCAGAGTTTTCTCCTAAAGCAGAATGCTATAATCTATAGCCTAAAAAATATATATAATATATAGCATATATATTATATATAATATATAGCATAAACAATATTTTATGCTTTGCAGGCCAGATGGTGTGTGGCAACTACCTAACTCTGCTGTTGCTGTACAAGAGTTACCATGGGCAGTATGTGAATGAATGAGCATGACTGTGTTTCAGTAAAACTTTATTTATGGATATTGTGATTAGAATTTAATATCGATTCTATGCATCACAATAATTGTCATCCTCTCTTGATTTTCTACCTCCAATAAATACTCAAAAGTCTATCCTTAATTGGGCCTCCCCTGGTGGCGCAGTGGTTGAGCGCTGGGCTGCGAAGCTGCCCGCAACCTCTGCAGCGCCGGTTCAATCCCCGGCCACAGGCGAGGGTCCCACAAGGCGCGCAGACCTCTCCTGCCATGCCCGCTGCTCCCCTCAACAGTGTATTTCGTCAATCTGCCTGTTCTGTTCCCTGCTCTGGCTCTGGTGAATTATCTCACCCTCCCGTGCCTCTGACTGTACCCAGTGCTTGTATAATACATAAATAAATCTTTAAAACAAAATATCATATAACTGTCCCTTTCCTCCACCACCCAGCAACTCGTCCTCCACCACTAAGCAACTAATTGCTTGGTTAAATCTATAAGTAAAATTTTTAGAAAAAAATAATATATATCATTAAAGAGTATGTACTATATATATATATATATATATATCTCAACAGATGTGATTGTGTATATGTCTCTGTAGCTGTATATATTTTACTTATGAAGTCTCTCATACCAGATTATTAAGGCAGTTCAGTAATAAGATGATCCAGACTTGTAGGTAAAATAGGCCTAGAATTACAGCCCGACTCTGCAATATTGTAATTGTGTCATCTCAGATAAATTACTTAACTTTTCTGAGTTTGCCTTGTCATTCCTGAAAGGGAGTTAATATTACCTACTTCATTTAATTGTCTGGTAAAAATTAGATAATATATACAAAGGGCACCAGGGGCAGAGCTGTATATATTATATAAAAGTTTTTTGAGTTACTGACTTTTTTGAGAAAAGACATGATCTGGCTCCCTATGAGACCTAACCCTCACTTATAACATGGATTTTCAATATAGTTTCCTCTGCTTGATAAAAATAAACACTGCCACATCCCCAAATAAATTTGTTACACCTTTCTTTTTCCCTTTTTCCACTGGTATCGTTGGTGTTCTCATGCTGTTGTTTTCTCTGACCCAATCTTTTTGGTCCTAGTTGCTGGCATTTTCAGACATGCCAAGGCCTCCCGCCAGGTTCTGCATACACTTGTTATACTTCACTAGAGCAACACCTGTACTTCCAAAGAAGTAGTCCCTTATTTGACAAAAAGAGGGAAAAATATCTTTACTTTTAAAGCTTTCTTGGCAAGGATACTGGCTCAAAAAATGCACAAAATTGAAAACTTACTGAACATAAGAGTCCATGATAAGGAAACCTTCTTATAGGAGTATAAAATTTATTTTGAGAGGCGTATTTTGGTAGGTCTCATCTTTTGACCAGCATGTTCTAACCCTCGTTTGTTAGAAATAGCAAAGTATGTTTCCTAATGATTACTTGTTAGTTAGTCCTTAATCTAAGGTTGTTTTATGTAATCTAAACTCAGATCTCTTCAGTTAATCATAGTTATTTCAAAATAGCAAGCTTTTCAATATAAATCATACTTTATAGTGATGGTAAGTGTTGAAACAGTTATATACTAAGTCAGAAACTTTATGAAGCAACTAATAAGATGTGTTCTCTTAAGTCCCTTAACAAAATTATGAAGAAAGATTGGGATGATCTTTTGAGAAACTTACATCAATTTTTTGAGAGATGCATTGAAATAATTACTTCAAACTTGTAACATAATTGCCTTTTATATATAAGCACCTAAATATATCATATGAATGTATATATATATATATATATATACACATATCTCATATATAAATATGTGTGTGTGCAAACATATCTATAAAGAATGTTTTCTCTTGTCAATTAACTGTAAGTCAGTGCTGGAACTTGCCAGCTTCCAAAAGTTTACTTTCAAAAGATTTTGATTACCTGAAAGAGGCATCATCCATCATCCATCTTTCTTAGTGTATTTGTATCAGTGCTGTCTTTTTTTTTGTTTCTTGCTATTCCAGTCGGAAGATTAAGGAGCACAAATAAAGACCCAGAGATAAGCATATTTAATTATTTTGCTGTGGGTTCTCCTTCGATAGAGTCACAGCATTGTATTAAGTAAAATACTGTGCAGTAAATTCACACACATCAACTTCAAAAACTGACCCATGTGAGCATGTCTTATACATGTACTATATTGTAGAGTTAATGTACCTGTTCAAAAATAAAAATTGGGCCTCCCCGGTGGCGCAGCGGTTGAGCGCTGGGTTGTGAAGCTGCCCGTGGCCTCTGCGGCGCCGGTTCGATCCCCGGCTGCTCCCCGGCCACTGGAGGAGGGTCCCACATGGCGCGCAGACCTCTCCTGCCGTCCGCTGCTCCCCTCAGCAGTGTACTTCGGTCCTTCTGCCTGCTCTGCTCCCCGCTCTGGCTCTGGTGAATTCTCTCACCCTCCCGCGCTTCTGACTGTACCCAGTGCATGTATAAACAAAAAAACAAGCAAACAAACAAATAAATAAATAAATAAAACATGCCTCTATTAAAAAAAAACAAAAAACAAAAAAAACAAAAATAAAAATTATTCAATTTTTATGAGAAGTTTTAACCCTTGTAGTTGATAAAGTAAAATGTAATTGTTCATATGAAGGAAAATTTTGCTGAGTAAAAAGGGCTTTATTCTGTTCTTTAATTACCCCAAGTACTTATCACAGTGCTGGAAATAGAGATGACATGTGGTAAAGCCTGAGTGAATGAAATGAATGAATGGGGGGGGGGAGGTGGTTGGAAGAAAGCTGATTGAATATTTCTGGGTTTGGATCTCAAAATGCCCTTTTCATTCCCAGGGTGATAGTGTTCTTGGTTATCTAGGGGTCACAGGCTTGGGCTGCGTGGTGGTCTTTCTAACCAGTGTAGCCAGTCGACCCTTGCACCGCTTGGTCTTGCCACCTCTCATAAGCTGAATGTGGCTATACCCAGGGCCCCGTTTAAAGGACCTCTGATGGTCTTTCCCTGTGCTCCTCTCACTGTTCACCTGCTTTCATGCCTTCAGTTGTTTGCTTATAGGGTTTAGTAGATGGATGTGATCAAGATCGCATTGCAGAACTATCCATGGATCTCTTCTTTGTGTATCGTCAGAGGGAAAAAACTATATTGAATTTAGGCTAGAAGAGGGTTTTCTTTCTTTTTATTCAGTTGGGCCTATTTTCTGCCCTGAGTAGTTTATATTTTGATGTGGTGGCATTGCACACAATAATGCCTAGTCTAGCAGGGTTTCTGGAACAGTTTCCATTTGGCTGCTGATTGCTTGCATCCTCCATTTTGCATCTATCACACACAAGCTGTGCAGTCCTCAGGTTGAAGTGCTTGTGCAGGCAATGTAAAGGAGTGAAAATGCCATGATATTGGGAATCAGGAAGATTGGGTTTTGAGATCATATTTACAATAGACTCACTGCATGGCCTTATACCTAAGTCTGTTCATTCTTGCAGTATTTAATCCTTAAATAATTTCTGCATGAACTAATAAGTAAGATAATGGAGTGATATCTGCCCAGTGTCTGTAACATATTTTGTGCTTAGTAAACAGTAACTTGTAATTGCTTTTTTAATTGAAAATTTTATGGATGTAATTGAAGAGTCGGAAGCCAAAGTAAGAAATAGTACTGATTCCTTCAAACCGAAAATATAATATCACACCTAGGATATGGACACTGATAAAATCGTAACAGCTAATTCATATTCCCTATCTGCAAGTTTATGTGTACTCTGTTTTATACCATTTTTTTTACCTTTTATTATAGTAAAATACACAATAACATAAAATCTACTACCTTACTCATAATATGTTCATAATGTTATGCAACCCTCATCACTGTCTAACTCCATAATGCTGTTCATCTTAAAACTGAATCTCTGTACCCATTAAGTGAATAATGTCAATCTTTATTAATTTTCCAGGTGATTTTTGAAGTAATAACTTCGGGACACCAAGGCTACCTTGCTATTGATGAAGTCAAGGTGTTAGGACATCCATGTAGTAAGTTGCCTCATTTTTTAAATGTTTGGGTATATGATTCTGGGGGTATTTAATCCATTTATGGATTAAGAGAACACACTAAAACCTGGGGAGAAATTTCCTTCCTAAAGAGCTCCCTGACAATCTTGAGGTGTTGCTTTGCTAGCCCAGAAGTTCAAAAACATGTATCTCAGCATACGTATCATTTTAAGTATCTAAGTATCTTTTTAAAAAATATTTATTTATTTATGCGTACAAGAACTGGGGTACAGGCCAGAGGTCTGGGGGGGGTGAGAGGAGTCACCAGAGACAGAGTGGGGAACAGAACAGGCAGATCTATTGAAATACACTGCTAAGGGGAGCAGTAGGCAAGTCAGGAGAGGTCTGCTGCGCCATGTGGGTTGCTCCCTGGCTGGGGTTTGAACTTGTGCTGCAGTGGCTCCGATAGGTTCCTAGGTTGTGTCTTATTAACCCCTTGTGCCACCAGGGAGGCCCCTATATCTAACCGTTTTGAAAATGAAAATCAGGGGCCCTCCCTGGTGGCACAGCAGGTTGAGTGCAGCTCTGTGAAGCTGTCCGTAGACTCTGCAGCACAGGTTCAATTCCTGGCCGGCCAGGGAGATACACACATGGTGTGGCATACCTCTCCTGTCTCACCTGCTGCTCCCCTCCGCAGTGTTTCTGCTCCATCTGCCTGTTCTGCTCCCCACTCTGTCTCTGCTGAATTCTCTCACCCTCCTGCACCTCTGGCCTGCACCCCAGTTCTTAGAATCATAAATAAATAAATCTTTAAAAAAATTTAAAAAAGGAAAAGGAAAATCAGGGGTGAGGGCTAGAAGAATACTCAAATATACCTGCAGATATCTTTAGGTTTTTCTTTTAAATGGTAGCACAAGTTTAAATGTTAAGAATCAGTGTATTTTGTTTCCTAAATCCAGTATGTTTTTTTTTTTTTTTAAGATTTATTTATTTATTTATACAAGCACTGGGTACAGTCAGAAGCGCGGGAGGGTGAGAGAATTCACCAGAGTCAGAGCAGAGAGTAGAACAGGCAGAAGGACCAAGGTACACTGCTGAGGGGAGCAGCGGGCAGCAGGAGAGGTCTGCGTACCATGTGGGACCCTCGCCCGGCGGCCGGGGATCGAACCGGCACTGCAGAGGCTGCGGGCAGCTTCACAATCCAGCGCTCAACTGCTGCACCACCGGGGAGGCCCTAAGTCCACTATGTTTGTGGTGCAGTTTTACACAAAAATATTTCATAATATAATTTCAAACAAGCCTGGGATCTGTCAAATATAAGAAACCTACCTAAACCACCTTAGAGACCCCAGGAATGGTCTGTTCTTTATCTTTTTAAAATGTGTACTTTAAAAAGTTCAATGGGTAATAAACACACACCTTTCTTTTTTACCTCCCACTAAAGACACCTATTAACATCTTGTCATATTTACATCCGAACCTTTGACCTTAAATCGCTAAAAGATTGAGATAGCCAGCCGTGTTTCCTCCCACCTCCCTAGAGGCCACCACAATGGTACACTCACAAGGTTTCTGGTCCAATAGCAGCAAAATCATATGTAGCTGTTTTAAACAGAAAAATATTATATTGAAAAGGAATTGGGTAACAAACAGAATCCTGAAGAGCATTGATGATCTGGGCTCAGATAAAGAGCAATAATGAAAAAGGAAGTTCTGCAGACAAAAAACTGGGGACTGCTGTGTGGGGTGTAGGATGTGGGGGCTCCCTGAGGACACAGGAGGTGAAGCCTGCTCCTCTGTTGCCTTGCCTTGGAGATATGACCTTTGCCAAGAGTACCTCACTTTCTAGTCTATGTGTCTTTGCACCCTGGTGCTTATTCCCCTGCTAACACCTGGGGTGAAGCAGCAGAGCAAAGTGTTGCTTTTTCAACTTCAGTCTGGTGGACAGGCCTAGACTTTCACCAAGAAACATGGAAGGAAATTTCCCAACCCTGCAATGAGGCTTTGAGAGCTAAGCAACCCAAACACTGTAGATGTCTGTGTGCACCTATGCACATGCATGCTTCTGTGTGTGCGCACATTATATATTCAATAAACAGCAAGAAGGTAATGTTTGCCTTTAGACAATTCTGATGAATGGTATCCAGCTACAAATTAACTCTGCATTATGTTTTTCCCACTTAACATTACATTTTTTATTTTAGGTCAGTGCATGCCATTCTGTGATATGAATATATTACACTTTATTTTTCTGTTCTTTTATGAATATTTTGTTTCCCCCCAGTTTTCTTCTGTTAGAGCCACTGCTGCTGTAAACAGCCATGTGTTGCTCGGGGTGCAATGTGTGAGAGCCGCGGCAGGGTGTATTCTTAGAAGCACAACTGCTGAGATGTAGACTAGAAACATTTTCAGTTTTACTAGATGCTGCCAAATGCTGTGAAAAGTGTCTGAGCCAGTTAATATTCCCACCAGCAGTACATGGAAGCTTTATTTTCCCTATACCCTTGCCCAGAATTGACATTGTCAGACTTTAAATTCTTGACTAGCTGAGGGATGGCAGCCTGCTTTATTTTTAGGGTCTCCAGCATTAAAGAGAAACTGACAAGTTCATACGTTCCTGAATCTCTCCTGATGGTCGCTACCCAAATTCCTGAGAGAATGGTTATGTCGCCACTGCTATTAGGGATATAAACACTTGCAGGAGTGTTCCCCTTTTCACTGGACTGGCTAGATCATGAGGCCCTCTTGAGAAGTTACAAAGAAGCCTAGTGGGACTAGTCTCTGGTGAAGGTGCCCAGATGCAACGCTGATACAGGGGTTTGGCTCCCCTCTCATGCCTTTGTCTGGTGCCCCGAGCTACCTGTGACACTGAAGTTCAGGCATAGCAGGCTTCTTGTTCATCAGCAAGGCAGGTGTTCCTCATTGTTTTTGCCTTTTCTCTTGTCATTTGGATCAGTGAGTTCAGGAAGAATTTCTCCTCCTTTTTCTGAAAAGGCAAACAAACAATGTTGTAACTAATTGGAACAACAAGGTAAATTTAGGAAGTGGAATATAATTACCTGAGTTGGAATTTGGCCAAATCTTTGGAGTAACAGCCTCAGGTTTGGAAAAGTGCCATGGCATCTTCTAATGTGCATGGATGCTCACGCTCTCTGATCCACGTCTTACCAAGGGGTAAAATAATCAGAGACAGTACTACTGTTACTGTATGCCTACTATGTGCTATGCCCTGCTTCTCAGAAGCTCGCCTAAGTGGATGTTTTTAGAGGTTACTGGAGTCTTTCTTGTTCTATTTCATGAGTTCCTTCTACATCTGGCCACTGGTCAACAAAATAGCTCCATAAGTGGAGTCCCTCCCATTCCACAGGTGCTGAGTTCTTGCCTTCAGTAAGATGTAAAGACTTCAGCTTGTCCTTCTGTTGGTGCCTTCCTGAAATGTGTTTCCTACAGTTGTGTTCATTCCACCTAAGCCCAGCTGCTTAGAGTCATAGAAAAGGTATTTATTTGCTCTCTGTGGGAGAATATGGGCACTAATACCTGCTGTTAGGAGACATGAAATTGCAAACAGACTCCATACCAAGGTGCTGTATGGCAAAACAATATTTTGAACTATAAGCTGTTTTGATAACAGTCCTTCTGTAGTTACTTTTACCTTATTCTCTAAGTTCATGAGGAAAACATGCAAATAAAGTTGTTAAAAAATGCAATAGTTTGGTTTTAAAATGGAAAGCTTTACAGGTGATATTTTCAGGGATTTCCTATCAAGATTTCCAAATAGTAATAAATTATTTTGAATTTTGATGACTATTAAATTTGAATCATAAAGGAGTGTTAAATCTTTCATATCCAAAACTGTGCTGTCCAAAAAGTTGCAAAACTGCTGAACTTTATTTACCTTACTCAGAAAATTCCTGCTTGGATTCATATAGGTTTATGAGTAGGCATTGAGCATTTTTTAAAGTAGCTGTTCTGTTAAAGGTATACAGTTTCTCGTAAAATTGATTTTAATGTAATAACAAGATGTAGGATCAGCTTGAAATGTGGAGATGGCTATGCAGAATCAGCAACTCTCTGGCTTAAGACCACTTCTAATAAACATAGGTAATTTTTGTACTTGGTATGCACACTGATAATGTATTTTGAATTTGGTTCAATAATCCTAGCAGGATAAACTGAAGAGGCATGTTTTCAAATTCATAATGGTGTCTCCTGCTTGTAAGTAGTTTATAAGCTATGAATATATGGGTATTTATATTATCACTTTGGGAAACATATATATATTTCTAAATTTTTTAAACTATGCATCATTTTAACAGGTTTATTGAATTATAGTTCACACCTTATACAGCTCACCAATTTTAAATGTAAAATTCAATGGGTTTTAGTATATTCACAGAGTTGTGTAAGCATTGCCACTATCAATTTTGGGACATTTTCGTTACCTCAAAAAAAAAGTAAAAAAACCTGTACTTGTTTATGGTCATTTTCCATTTTCCCCCAGTCCCATCCCCACCCCTTGGCAATCACAAATATATTGCCTGTCCATATTTCATTTACTTACAATCAAAGTGTGGCCATTTTATAGTCCGTCAAATTTTACTTAGCATGCCATTTCATGTTCATCCATGTTGAAGAGTGCTTCAATACTTCGTTCCTTCTTAAAGCCAAGTAATATCTCATTGTATGAGTAGATCACATTTTCTTTATCCTCTTATCTGTTGATGAACATTTGATTTGTTTCCAACCTTTGGCCAACTTGAATAGTGCATAAATACTGTCCATTTATACACAGAATTATGTGTGGACTTTTGTTTCAGTTCTCTTGGGATTACTGGATCTCAAGGGAGTGCTCTATTTGGTATTTTGAGGAACTATAAAATTGTCTTAAAACTGGCTGCACCATTTTACCTTCTGAGGAATAATATATGAGAGCTCCAATTTCTCTATATTCTTTCCAATTCTTGTTATTATGTGTCATTTTTAGATGATAGTTGTCCTACTTGGTGTGAAGTAGTGTCTCTGTGGTTTTGATTCCCTAGTGA